ATGTTCGATGTAGTGGTTGACTGGAATTCGTTGAATGCATGCCCCAGTCGTCGATGCTCTCATAGAGCCCCGCGGAGCTGGCTGAGCCGTGCTAGGTGGGTGACAAAAACTACTACGACGACGACTACTACTACCACTACTACTACTACTACTTCTACTTCTACTTCTACTACTACTACTACTACTACTACTACTACTACTACTACTACTACTATTACTCCTGCTGCTGCTGCTGCTGCTACTACTACTACTACTAGGCATCCTAAGAGGCCTAAAAATCGACTTGTCGAGTTTGGAAACTCGGGCTCTTGATTTTGGATTTGTTTCTGGGGGTGGGTGGGGGGGGGTGGTGGGGCGGGGCTGACAGTGTTACGCGAACACACCCAGCAGTATCACCACAAGAGCCGTTTAACTCGGTATTTACGGTACGTTCGTGATGTCAGACTTTGTTACATATTCTGAGCCTCTACTTCTCGACTATGCGTATTAAACTTTGCTGTTTCGAACTGATTGCAAAAAACTCGAAATTGGATGGGGGAAAGCTTCTTCGGGGATGATCACGACACTGTTTTGCGGACACGCTGAACAATATTTCCACATTCAAGCGCGCACAAACCCCACACACACACACACACACCACTTCAAAAACAGACCCTCCTACGCCGAGGTTGGGCGGTAGGGGTGTTGGCGAGCCCCTCCCACGTACAGCTGGCATCTTTGTTTTTGATGTTTAGACGATGTTGCGCTTCAGGTTTTGGAAATGCAAAACCCTTCTTGGCAGCACCTGGGTTTTGCACGGTATTTACAGCGTTTTCGTACTATCCGACCACCGGCGGTTTAGCATTTTCTGCCCCGTCGAGCTTGCAACTCCAGCTGCTGTCGCAATTTTGGGGCTTGAGCTCCTGCAACTTCACCGGCTGTGACAGTTAAGGAAACTGAGCCTCTGCAACTTCTGCAGCTGTCACAGATAGGGAGCCTGAGCCCGTGCATCTTCTGCAACTGTCGCAGTTAAGGCGCCTAGCAGCTACCGCTGCCCAGCCCGGATGGAACAGGTGTAGTTGGGAGGGGAGGGGTGGCTAGTACTAGTACGAGCAGTAGTACAAAAGCTAGTACTAGTACTAGTGCTAGTACTAGTACTACTACTGCTACTACTACTACTGCTACTGCTACTGCTCCTGCTGCTGCTGCTACTGCTACTGATACTGCTGCTGCCGCTGCCACTGCCACTGCTACTCCTCCTCGTCCGCTCAATTCCTACTCCTACTGCTACCCCTCCTCGTCCTTCTCCTACTTCTGCTGCTCCTACTGCTACTGCGATTGGTAGCTGCCGAGAGCACGCATATGGCGACTATTGCACAGCCAAGAAGCAACCGCGGAACGTGGTGGAATGGGGCAGGGGGGGTCATAATCTCCTTGTTTCATGCTACTTGATTGAAAAGAGGGGATGGGAAGGTTCTTGTTTGATGCTGCTTGTCCAGGGAGGGGGAAGACCAAAGCGTTCTTTCTTTCTCGTTGCTGTGCTCGCCGCCGTTGCTGCCTGCAGACAATACGGCCATACATGCGGTGTGGCCCCAGGACCTGCCGCGTAGTTTGCATGTCCGCTGCATCTACTGACTCTCGCGCGAGAATCCAAGCTTGACCGATTCAGGACGATGAAACTGACGATAAGGTAGACACTGCGAAACAGCACTTCAGAACTCGTTCGTGTTCACAACCATAATCATCATCAGCAGTCTCCTGTCATCTCCTGTCTCAATGGGTGCACTGGTGGCATTTGGTGACTGGAGACTGTGTCAGATATCCCTTCCTTCCTGCGGTTAATTATGAGCAGTGCTGCGATCTCCGGCTCGTCCTGATGCTGTCTTTCGTAGCTGCTTTCGGAGTTACGGTTCTCACTGCTGGGGTTTGCAGAACTTTCACAAACAGGGGTGGGGGCATCTAACAGAGCCGCTGGACGACCTCAAGATATCGAATTCGACCGGGGGGCGTGTATACGCACTTGTTCCGTGCATGTTAGTGGCTGGTTGCTCGCCTGTGCGCTTGCGCTGTGGTGGCTCAGAGGAACCATCGCTTCGCAGTTTCCTCGCTCATGCTTGGCTGGCTACTGCGGAAGATTGCAGGAACTTTGTTTCTAAAGTAGCACGGTTTAGAAGCACGGCTCACGTTTCAGCTGTGGCGACATGCAGCCGGGGCTGGCATCGGAGCAGTGGCGGCCAGAAGCTTTCCCAGGCCCTTCTGCAAGTTTGATCAGCATGTTTCAGAAACCACGGCTGAGCGGGCGAGTTCTGGCACACCGCGACATTTTTGCATAGCATACTGGCTTTGCAGTTTGGAGGGCATTGTGTCGAAGTGCAAGCTGTTCGTCGATTAGAGAGTGTTCCAGGAATGCTTGAATGCTTGACTTGCTTCTAGACCTGCACAGCACGAGTCGTCAGCACGAGCCCGCGGTGAATATTGGCTCAAGCTCTTCCGCACTTGCCCAGGCGCTGTGGCACAGTTTTCGCGCCAAGCATGTTGCGACTTGGTGGGCTCGAGCCCGCGGGGCCCGCCCTTCTGAGTGCACCAAAGAAACACGTTCAAGTGGCGGCGGCGACGAGGGCGATGCCGTGGAAAGCGTCCATTGGCGATTCGGCCATTTCAGCTCGGGCCACTGTGCGACGGGCGCCGAGCGTCCGGCGGAAGGTTTGGGACGCTGCATCTTTCTGCAGCGATCCCCTAGTTGCATGCGTTGGCTGGGCAGCTCTTCTCTCAGGCATAACTGTGCTTAGGGTGGCGATGGACGATGACGAAGATACGCCGAAATCATTCCTCAAGAAGCGGAGGAGAATGCGGAAGTTGCGCCAGGACTCGGCTCCAATTGTTTGCCTCGGGGACAGCATAACACGCGGCAACCTATCCACAGACTGGGTGAGCTCTTTGAGGGAGGAGTTGAACCAAGGTTTGGTGTTGAACGCTGGCATAAACATGCAGCTTTGGCGCAGGGTGGAGGTAGCTGTCCTTTTGAGATCTTTGATTGAGCCTTTCGATCAGCATGGATAAGATTCCATCTCTTGCCGGATTGTCTCCTAAGGCAGTGCTCCCAGAACATCCAAGAGCGTATTGGCGAGGTCATTCAATGCAAGCCCTCTCACGTCACAGTGCTTGTGGGGACCAACGACCTGAAAGCCGCACTCTCGCCGGTGGAAGGCCGTTCTATGTAACATCTAATGACTACTGCTACTGTAGGCGGTGGGGTACTGTGATGCTGCTTGAAGGCGTCGCGCACTTGGGGGGATGTTGCTTCTCCCAGGCTTGATGTACCAAGTCTTCGGCCAGCTTCCAGAAGTTCCATCGCTGGAGTCCTACGAAAGAACTCTCCGAGACATCAAGGAAAGGTTGATCGACGCAGGGGCCAATGTTGCCCTCGTCTCTCCGCCCGTGCTGGGAGAGGACCGGGACCGGAAAAGCTTTCTGATGCTTAACGCCTCGGCGAGTTGACGAGCGCCGAACAATAGCAACACGATAGATAGAGGCTGCCGCCAATTCACAGGGCAGGCCCAGCACAATCTGTCTCAGCTGTCTAGCTCTTTCTGTTCTGATGCCTATGTAGGATTGCTGGTAAATCGCACGCAGCGTAAGAGGACCACCAGTCGGAGGCCAACAAGAGAGCTGCTGAGTTTGCATCCGTCGTCCGAAAGGTCGCCGAGTCCGGGGGTAAGATGTGCACCTACCTACCACTCTTTGAGATGACGTATGCTGCCCTACCAAAGGGAAGGCTTGGAAGGCCTTACTGTGGGATGAACTTCTTCGCCTGGTGTTGCCTCCTGTGCTGGGACATGCACATCCTGCAACGGGACCCTGCAGACATTCAGCGGGAAAGGAATCTGGACGTGACTTTGGACTTGGTCCATCTCGGACCAGGGGCAGCAAAAGGGCTTGCAGACATGGTGCAGAGCTTTGTGCGTGCCCATCCATCCCCACTTTCGGCTCCGCAAGTGATTTCTGATTTGCGTGCCCTTCCTATGGAACCCTGAGGCTTGCCATTTCTTACCAGGCCACCCAGCATGTGCTGCAGGTTCGGAATCATGGTGCATGCATTTCCAGTCCTCAGCTTAGTAGTGTTGGTGTAAATCTTTGCATTCTGCCACATAGTGGCTTGTGACATCTGCATGCTGGACTCTGGGCTTCACCGCATGCCCGCTGGGATCGCAGTTCGTGCCCTGTTCTTGATTGATCTCGTTGAATGCAAAGCCTTGTTGGATCCCACGGTGCATGCTCACCACCTGCGTTTTCCTCTAAACAGCGTAATAGCTGTATGGGCTTTGCCCTGCATGATTTCTGAGAGGAGTCTGACACCAGCACCCGTACATCAGTTTCTTTGTTTACAGGTACCGGTCTGCTGGAATCGGTTCCTCCATCTAAGTGTTTGAAGATTTGAATCTTCGTGCCGCATTTTCATGCTGGAGGCTCGGGGGACCAACTTTTCCGCATCCTCTGTAAAGCCGTTCCAGCCGTCTTGGCCACGGCAGCACTTCACTAACAGCTGGGCGTCTCAAGAAGCATCAAGGTTTTGGCCTGACATGGCCGTGAAGTTGTAATTCTGTACCCGTCGCTATGTGTGCTGTGAAGTGCCAGCTGCCATGCACGTCACATTCTCACTCAAGTATACCAGACCCGTGCGATGCGCAATGCACTGAAACATCAGCATACGTTTTTTCTGCGTCCTGTGCATGAGCCATCCGAGACATCGCTTCAAGTTGCAAAGTCATGCAAAGTCATCACTAGTCTAAGCCTGCATAGTGCGTTGACTCACTCGCTTGCATGCTGTCCGGCAGGAATCAGGACGCCCGGTTCCGCGTGAATAGCTTTGAGTACGGCCGGCTGGAGCCGCTGAAGTGGAGAAATAGCTCCTCCAGATACCTGCAGTGCTTCCCATTCTTCGCTGGGACAAGAGAGCGGAAGCATGTCGGCAGCATTGTAAAGACTTACTTCGCCGTTTGGATTTGCACCTCGCATCCAAGGTCGTGCCTTCTGCCCGACCAGTGGCTCAACGATGAGGCTGAAGGGGGTTCACGTGCACATGTACCCTCACGACCTTGCAACCCATTCCCACCACTCACGCCCAAACCCCAGTTTCATCGCACTTGTTCGGTGTTTCGCTTGTCCCGCAGCCATCTTGACATCAGGTACTGGCATGAATGAAAACAGCCATTTCCTTGGACAATCACTGGACTCACGATCGTTTGGCCAGGTCCTCCCGTACTCTGAACGCCGGGACTTAACTTACTTAAGTACTGTACACCCAGAGCTGCACATGGCAGCTGTCCCGTGGTAACAGGGCTTGGCTGCGCCAATTTTGCTTGACCATGCAATGCAGAGTGGCGGGAGGCGGGAGGTGCGTCCCCCACGCCATGCCTGCGACCATGCCTGGCCGAGTGCAAACAGGCGGGCGGATGGGACTGCAAGCGACTGGATACAGATCTGAGCCGGCAGGCGTGTCCTCTAGTCGGAGCTCGTCTCCGGAGTTGCGGCCTCAATGAGATTCTTGTCACCTGGGGTTTTCGGCTGTGACAGTTGCAGAGCATGGATCGGGCTAACATGGAATAGTATCCATGGAAAGTTCTTGCGTTGGGCCGGCTTTAATGTCGCAAGCATTGGCGTATATTGGCGTGATGCTTTCCAGCATCGCACTAACGACATGCCCTTTCTACAGCAATCTGAGTCGCCGCGGTATCGGACCAGCAGCTGGTAGGTCCACTGCAGCGTGACATGGCGTGACTCCATGACTCTTTGGCTCTTGCTGTTGCTTGCTTTCGCTTGCGCTGACCCACTGGGGGAGGAAATCTATAAAAAGTTCGTGGAGCTTCAGCTGATCTTAGGGCATCATGATGTTGATGCGTGCCTCTGGGCTGAGATTGCCTGCCAACCCAGGACATCAGCAGTGTGCTGCAATTCAAGCATTCGCCGGATGCCTTAGAAAATATTCGCGATTGGGTACAGGAGGATATCACAGACTGGGCTCCACAGGGGGAGCAGGCGCTGCGAACGCACATCGTCACTTTGATGTACGGCGATGATGACGACGAGAAGGTCCGAGCCGTCCGTGTTTACAGCGATGTGTGCGAAATGCAAATGATGTTGGGCTCTCACCTCTTCGCAGACGAGGCTCAGGCTATGCAAACCAACCCCGGCATCGCCGCTGTCCTTCATCAATTGCATGTTGGCACTGACGATCAGGATGCATACGGACTAGCCGATGCAGTGCACCAACACTTAAACTCAGCTGCAGATCTGTCTTTGTTTGGAAGTCAGATGCAGGCTGCGAGGGGTCGCATGCAAGACCGAAGTGACTCGGAGTTGTGACTCGCTGTTTGGATTTGTTTTCTCCAGGGAGTGAAGCTGCAGACAGCAATGGAGTGAACAGGCGCTATCAGATACTGTCAGCTGCTCGTGCTGCCCAGCAGCAAGTCAATGCCGAAGGCGCTGCATCCAAGACTGGCAAGTGCTGCTTGGACGGTTGGATGACGGTTGGTGCATGCCCACTTCGCCATTGCATGGGGCGAAACCCAATGCCAATCAGCGCCGCAATGAATTGAGTTGGGAATCTAACGGTTTCACAGCTCGGGCTGGAGACGCTCAGCCCTTGCAGCGACAGCGGAACATGCAACACGGAGTCATTCCACTCTATCTCCTGGGTGCTGTGAGGGTGACCCAAATGCAGCTAGCAGCCCGCATGTTCGCACCACAAGTGTGTAGGATTGCAGGTACAAGTTACACGTGGGGTTCTTGCATGATCTCACACTTGTATTCACGAATTGAGTCTGAGAGGTCAAGCTCCGCAGTAAGTTGCCTGAGAGAACGGAGGTTTTGTGCATTTCCGTAGGAAGGCCAGAGTTCGGCTGCAAGGGACTCGCAGCAGCTGTGAACTGGTTTGCCTCGCACCGTGTCGGTACTTGGTTTGTTGTTGGTTGTAGTACGTCCCTTGTTGTCAGTACACTCTCACGCACAGAATATGGCATGGATAGGTGTCCTTATCGTTGCGGAGCTTTAACTTGAACCGTCAGAGATCAGCTTGAAAGACGCTGGACTGCTGTTGACTAATTGAGGGCCGGCCAGTGACGGCTAGGGTTCCAGATCAAGGCCGAATAACTTGTGCGAGGTGACATCGCCGCGGACACAAAGACAGCTGGTCATGCACCTATCTGCTGCTTTTTATTGCATTCGGCCGGCGTAGTGCTCGAGCTTAAAGATGGACTGTGGGCCCGAAATGAATAGGGTACTGTGAGAGACCATGCCTCAGTCCACACGGACAAGTAACCTCAGGTGCAGATGAACTCACTTGTCAATTTGCCGGAACTCCTCAAAATGACGCAGCGCTTGAGAACAGCAGAAGCTGCCTCAAACAAGGCAGTATACGTAGGACCGTTGGAACTCGGATGCCCGGCTATTGCGACCAGCGAGCTCAAACAAGCCCATGAATGTTCTATGCTTGCGGTGCCCCCCTTTCTAGAAACTACTGTTCCGCATGCCATGACTGTCTCGGGCAAAGCTCGGGCACTGTCGTCGCGACCGACCAGCGCCTCGACTCGGCCACCCAGTGCAGGAAGCGTGCGAGAAGGATCTCCGGGTCTTTCGAGTCAGCGCCCGACCAGTGCTGGGAGTACCTCTGCGTCGCTAAGCAGGCCGTCCAACGCATCTCTATATCGACCAACCAGCGCCGGCAGTGCTGTGCAAGGCTCCGAAGTGTCAAGCAGGCCAGTCAGTGCAAAAAGCCAGGCTGGCCCGGTCAACCCAAGCACATGCAGAGCTTCCCTCGAGACGGAGGAGTCCGTGAATGGGCACGCAGCACGAGGTGATTCACCATCAAGAGGCGGCCGGCTTCTGGGCCCACATTCGCAAGACAATGCTATAACCCAAAGCTCCGACTTCTCCCGCCGCGCTGTCGAGGAGGAACTGCAGCAACCCGTCCTAACACCTATTCCAAACTCGATAGCAACACCACTGGAGAGGCAGATGGGCACTGCAATCGGACTGAAAGGCAGAAATCGGTTGGTGCCTCGGCTTCCCCGTGATGTCGTGCATTGCCTGCACGGTCAGAACTGTTGTTGGCGGTGGTTGGCGAGAGCAGCCATGGAAGAGATACACTGCGGCAGCTTGGCAAGCGTGAGCCTTGCGGATGGCGTGACCATGATGAAAGAGGATTGTTACCAGGGAGAAGCAGTAGGCAGGCGTCTAGTCCAATGGCGGCAGAGTAGTCGCACAGTCCCGAAAGCTAACTCCTTGGAGCTTGCAGGAGTTGTCATGGTTGCTTACAAATTTCTTTGTTGGACAAACTAGCAAGGAGGCCCCCGTTTGTTCGACATATCAGGGACTTCCAGGTTCGCAGGAGGGGGGGTGGGCCCACCCCCTCCCCCACCTTTTGCTTGTTCTTCACAGACTTAGCTTCGATTGGAAGGGGGGCTAGCACCTGCTCTCCCCCCCGCCTCAAGGCCCCCCTCCCCCTCACCTCAAGGTCCCCTTCGCTCTGTGGGTGTTGGGTTTCAATGGGTTGCTTGCCGTGGATGCTGATTCTATCATGCATGCTTATTTGTGGTCCATCAGCATTGCAGCATGCTCGGCAACTTTCTCTGCAAGGCTTGGCTGGTCTAGAGGACAACTCGTGGCGAGTCATTTCATCTTTCAGCATCGGACTGCAGTTGATGACGAGCACAGCTAGAGAACCACATGCGCATGCTGCAGTTCTCGTCTTTTCTTGTGCTTGTCCCCATGTTCTTGGCTTCCGGCTCTGAACTACTTACGCGCGCGCGTCACGTCGAAATGTGCACCACGGTAGGCTCCCTAACCTCCGCCATCCTCCCCGCACGCCGCCCTGCCCTGCACGCAAGCCTGCCGAACAACCAATCGCTTCTCTACTTGCTTATCCCTCGCCGTTTCTACTTCTTGCCCCTAGCTTTCGTCCACCCTGCTCCCAAGTTATGCCAGTGCGTGAATGTACTGAACGTACTGCCGAAGACAAGCACGGCATCTGCAAGCATTCCAGTCCAGAGTCCAGACCTGATGTGATTCGTCGAAGCTCGCAGCCTGCACTCGTCACAAGGAGCTGGTCATGCTAAGGGAAGAGCACGCCATTAAGGAGACAGAGCGAGGTCGTGCGGAGGCAGCGGACATGCTTCGACGCTTCTGCAGCATTGCTATGCAAGTGGGATTACTGATTCCGAGGCCGCTGAAGAGAATCTCGCGTCGTTGAAGCAGCAGCTGGCTGCAACTAAAGTTGATCACAAGGAGTTCAGGCCGGATCTGATTGTTTGGGGTTCTCTCGCCAATGAAACTGCAACGTAGCACAGGGCCCTCGAGCGAGCTCATGGTCATTTACAAGAGGAGGCTGCTTCCCTCCGAGTGTCCCGAGGCTCGGATGTGGGGACATGGCCAAACGCGGATGCGTTTACATGTGTCGCAAGTCAGGAAGCCTCCTGGCTCAGCTGGAAGTACAGAAGAAGGATTCGGCACGCGAAATAGACGCGATCAATGGCAAGGCACACGCTAGTTGGATTCCGTCATAAACAACACATACTTGTAGAGTCGAAAGTATCGAAAGTTGAAAGCACTTTGTGGTCCGTGTTGACCTCAATCTGTCGAGGCCGAAGCTGAAGCATCAGCCCTACGCCTTCGAGCAGAGCACGCAGAGACGGAGCTCGCGAAATTGCAGGCCGACCCGTCGGGCTTCAGCGAGACGTTTTGGAAGCTTTCAGCTCAGGCAACCGAAAGTGAGCTACGGCAAACAGTGGCAGGGCTGATCCAGGGAAGGTGCTCGTGCCGTGCATATCAAGCCGAGCAGAGTGGAAGTCGCCTTGCAGGGAAGAGGCCGACAGGAAGAAGCTGTCAACAGTGGGACCCCGCCGTTTCAAGGCCCGCCGAGGAAGCGTCTTGGATGCAAAGATTCCCAAGCAGAGTTCTTGCATTATGCTGCGTGCTCGCCAAGCCGAGGAAAAAGCAGCACGAAAAAGGATTCTGGCTCGCGCTCCCAGTCTCGGCGAGGGGGCAAGCAACGCGGGCGACGCTAATGAGATCTAATGCGTCGAGATGCGCACATCAGATGTTGGAGGTTTCAGTTGCGAGCCGAAACGGCAGACTGCCGCAGCCTGGGGATCCTGAAGTGCCAAGTTTCTCCATTGTGAAAAAGCGTCTCACGGAGCCATGCAAAGCAGGCTCTCTCTCTCCACAGACTTCGAGTCCTTAGCAGTCGCACCCGGCTGAAGCCAACAGCGCAGATGATCAACTTACGGTCTTTCTGCAAAGGCATGATATAAAATTGCTGGCGAGCTCACATCTATCCACATCTGGTGGAGAATCTTTCTTTGCGCTGCCTCCTGAACGGCATGACTTCTGTCAGTTCGTGACGGTTAAGGCCAATGTAAACAAAGACTTCGGCAGGGCTTGATCGCTCGCCGGCAGCCGGGCTGCAGAATTCTTATGCTATGCCGCATCAGACTAGCTTTTCCTGGTTCCCTCCATCTGTGAGTCGCATCAGGCACGTGGGACCAAGATGCCTCAGTCTGTGTGCAGCTCCGGTCCGTTCAGCCCAGCTCCGTGCGGCTTTATTTGCAGTTGGCCATGCGATCATGTGGTATCAAAGCGAAGTTACGACCCAGCGCAGAGCTCTGTCGCGTTTGACATGTTTGACAGTCAACTCAATGGTGAATGAAAGGTTATATACGTCTGGGCAGAGAGCGCAACGGCCATGTCGACCCAATGCAATGGAGGCACGCAGCAGGAATTGCCAAGCATGTTGAACTTCTCTGAGCATTGTTTTTGATCGCTCCGTTTTGTCAATCCACATGCCGCGATCTGCGTTTCCGAGGGTGCCGCGCACGTTGCTGTATCGGGGTGTACCAATGCGACGCATACCAAACACCGAGTGTTCAGATTCCTTTGGCAGGCGCACGACCTGGGCACATGAGCTGACGAACGTGCCGAAAAGGAGTGCTACAGCATTTCATGAACTGCAAGTTGTCCGGCTGTCAGTGCACGGTTGCTTGTAACCGCATATGGGCAGGTTTTGGGTCATGAATGCTACGTCTGCTACGTGCTGGATGCGGTCTGACTGCAGGTCGTGAACTGCTACATGAAGCTTCTACAGGCTCCCGGCCATGGGGCTGTGGCAATAACGGGTAATACGTCGTGACAATGGCGCCTGGCACTGTGTTGTCGCATGGCTAGCGCCCGACAGCACCTAGCGGCAGAGCTGGAAGGCAGAAGGCAGCAGAGTATCACATTGTTTTGCGAAGATGTTTTTCCTCCTTCTGCAATGACTTCCGTGTCTTTGGTTTGCTGGTCCTGCGGTCTCCTGTGGTCCCGTGGTCCTCCGGGCCTGTGTCCTCGCTTTTCGCATCTGGCTTTTCGCTGGTTCCTTGCTTCCGGTTATCCATGTCGTGCATTTTGGTTGTGGCGGCTGTTTTGGCTGCTCCTTGTTGCTTCTTTACATGTTTTTTGTTTCTTTCTTTGCGTTGCCTGTTTCCTGCCTCTCGCTGCTAGCTGCTACTGTAGATGTTCGTTGGACGTCTTTGTATGGCTAAGGCGGCGAAGTGCAGATAAAGGGTGCTAAATTGGAAACTGAAAAATTGTTCAAAGCCCCCTGCGATGCTCCAAGATGTCTGTTTGTCGCCATTTCCCAGCCTGCTCCAAACATGCTCAAATCCGCCCGCTTCCATGCCGTGAGTGCACCTCCAAAGCGTTCGTCTGTTCGCTTGCTCCACTTCCCTGCTTCCAAGCTGCCTTCGATTCCTGCAGTTTCCACAAGCCGTCGGTTTGTCGCGAATCCAGTCTCAAAATGTCTCAAATATTCCTGCCCAATCCCACTGAGTCCCAACCGGTGTGCTGGCTGCCAACGCTACCCGTCCTATCCCAGCTTTAGTCAAATCCCGCTCTTTCGAATACTTTTGCCTGCGCGGATAGCAAGATGTCAAAAGGCGACTCCCTGCTGCCCCTGCTTCAATGCAACATAGGCTTGTTTCAATCCACCACAAATATGCAAGAATCCCTCTTTCGGCTGCTTTGGGTCGGGCAGAAGACGCCGTAGCTACTTCCGTTACTTTCATCCTATCCCCCGACCCCGCAGCTGATTGCCAGCTGGTGCTAAAGCTCCGTCCATTCTGCGGGGCGGCTCAAATAAATTGTTTCGATCTGCGGGGTAGGCGGGGGGGGGGCGAGCGGGGCAGTATATTTCAGAGAAGAACGATTTGTGTCATCGTCCGTGCAGAGAGGGTAGGGACAGGGTTGCGGGAGGCGGGCCGGGGACGGAGGGGGCCGGGCTCCTTTCCGCAGTGGGTGGAAGCGACGCACGGGACTGTGGAAAACTATGCGGACTTTGCGAACCCAAAATTTGCATCACTGAATCACAACAGAGAGATCTCGCAACTCTGAAGGGCCTCATTGTTTGTGGCGATTCCCATTCAAAACACACCAACATCGCACAGCAACCTATTGGAGAACCCAACCTCTTGCAGTCTCAGGTAGTAGCCCACAGGCGATAACTCTGTAACCCGGCTCTGGAGCATGGGAGCACAACTCTATCCTAGGCCGCTAAGCCCTTTTGTCTGCGCAGCTGCTCGTAGGCTTGGCAAAAGGCCTTTCAGACTTTACTCCGACACAACAGACAGTGACAGCCAAAGAGCATAACACTTAAGGCATGAGCTTTCCTTTAGACCCTATAACGACTGCGGTCTTTGGCAGGAATGCAGCGAGGGCCAGGTTTGGTGCGCCAACACCTTCTTCTGGAATAAGCTGGAGGCGTGTTTTTCTTTTGGCGAAGCCACAAACATGACAGATGGCACGGACTTTATCGGGGTGGCATGTCGCCCGTGTGGGTTGTGCAACGCTGGTTCCGACATGTTCCGACAGCTTTGCTTTCATCTAACCGAAGCTCCTGCATTTCCTTCTGCTGTCTCTTTACAGTCGAGTGAGGGCCTGAGGCGGGCACGTTTTGGTAGCAAAACCAGGTTTTCCGGCATGCAGAGCTTTGGACGGGCCTGACATGCCTTTGCAGTTTTATGTCCCTGCACGCTGCCCTGATTCATTACGCGACAACCCCTTGCTTAGAGCCGTGGCAGAGGCTGGCGGTCACGCCGCAGTTCAGCGTTGGACTAGGCTCGCGGGGCGCAAGCACAAGACACGAGACGAGACAAACCTGTTTTGACAGTCTGGTGTGCCTGTAACATGAGCAGTCGCACGGCAAGCGGGAGACTTCAATTGATGTATTTGTTGTTGATGGGCTCGAGCCATGCATGCTGCGAAATTGGGAAGCGATGTGACAATCATCAATGATTCTACAGCTGCTGCTTCTGCGTGCGGCTGAAGCCGCTTAGCCCAAGCTGATGAAGGCTGGACAGGTTTGTGATCAGTTGCAGGCCAAGCATTCTGCAATAATGACATGGGGTTTGGCTTCGAAGAGCAAGTTTGTGGAGCAAATTGCAATTCGGGGGCATGAAGCAATGGGCTTTTCGAAGAAATTTTCGTCGCAACGAATGTAACGACTCAGGCTTCTAGATTCGACCTTGAAGTGTGCGGAAGCCAGAACTGCTGTCTCTAATCCCATAGATGAGTCCCGATATCCTGTCGTGTAACCCTTAAGCCTAGCTTCAGGCCAGAGATTGACCAAACACGTTTGGGGTTTAGACATTTAAACATTTTTGGCGCTTAAACAGTTTAAACAGAGGTCGGCGCTCTGCGTGTTTAAACATGTTGCAGGTGCCGTGTGTTTCAACGTTTGTTTGTGTGGGGCGTTTGCAGTAGTCCTTTGTACCAGCAGGCTCCTAACAAAGTAGCTCCGTGTCTTATTGAACTTACCACCACAGAGATATTCAGACCTGAAGCCTGACGTCAGTAAGCTTCGGTTCGTACCCGCGAATCTGTTGAAAGCTTGGGGTGGTTAGACTCTATATAGGGATTAGGCTGCGGAAGTCAACGCTCGGTACGTGCATCTCCGGTGTTCCCGGGCAGTCTTCGGTAAACGCACTTCGAAGATCAACGTTCGGACCTGGATTTCTGGTGTTTGAAGGGCTTACTGTATCAAGACGTTTGAGGCGTTTAAACGGTTTGAACGTTTACAGGGTTTAAACGTGGGAGCAACACTTCTGAAGGACGTTTGGGGCGTTTAAACGGTTTTGACTTCTGCAGGTATGAGAGGCAGGACGATTGGGGCGTTTAAAGGTGGGAGCAGCACTTCTCAAGGTATGAGATCAGGACGTTTGGGACGGTCAAAAGGTTTTTATGGTTTAAACGTTGAAGCAGCACTTCTGAAGGCATGATGTTTCGGGCTTTTACACGGTTTAATCCCTGAGTCTGAGTCAGTGCCTTTGCGTCAAAGTTTTAAAATGTAGATTGATCGGAATTTCAGTGTTTCAATCGCTTCAGTTTTACAGGCTGCGGAGAGAGCCGTTGCTTTGGAAAGGTTGAAGGTAAAGTGAGTGTATGGTACAACTTAGGATACACATGTTTAAACATGTGCGTGTGCTTAAGCATCTGTTTGTTTAAACGGCGCAGGCTCTAAAAAGCCTTTAAACAGGTTAGACAACTTCTGCTGCGGGTCCCGATTGTTTCAACATTCACACATTTACATAGTTTAAACATATAAGCCCCTGCCCAACCCCGCTTCATGCCAAGAGTGTTCCTTCATGAACGGAATATGCTGTGGGCAAGAATCCACGGATGTGGTTTTCCGTGTCGTCATATGGGGTTGAGCAACACGCAGTGCCGAAATTGGCACCAAGCGATGACCACTCATATTGCGTGCACTTGGCTCTTCTTGTCGTTGTCATCGTCCGTTTTAGTTGTCAGCGTGACATTTAACATTCCTGTTTTACCTCCTCTCAGTGCTGTCATTATGGTTATCCCGTTCATGCCAGTAAGCCAGTGGCGCTGTAGACGCTGAGACTGACTGAGTCGAGGCCAACGCCAAGTTGCATCTGGTCACATGTTGCCGAGAGGCCTACATGAGGGGAGCGGAGACTTCTTTGCTTGCAGTCTGGTGGCCTGAGAGAGCGGGATCTCACCGACAAATGTCTCAAGCTGCTTAGCCTCTCTTTGGGCCCCCAAAGCCCCAATTCATGGACTCAATCGCAACCTGCCGCTGCAGATCCCGCTGATCCGGATCCCCCACTTGTAGCTTGCAGAACAATTCTTGGGTTCGGCGGTCCCAGGCGAAAGGGAGGTCTTGAACAAATTGCAGCACTTCGCAATAGTTACACGTAATTTCTGCGATTTGGTAATATTTTGTACCAAGTCTGACCGGATAGTCTATATATACACAACCAAAGGTCAAACCGCCGCAGGCAGATCGCGATTTGTTACACAGAAGCAGCAGGACCCTCCGGGGGATAGGCAAAGCAGCTAAGTGCCGCAGTACTTATGACATCAGCGGCCGCTCTTCGCCATGTGGCCCCGGCGACATCCTTGTTCGGACCCAACTTCGACCGCTTGGCGGAGGACTTCTGTCAAGCCGGGTATCAGAAGCTGATGATCATCACGGATTTCGACCAGACTCTGACGCACTATGTTGGCAGAGACGGTCTGCCGGGTAGCTTGTCCGTAGTGGCATCCTGCTGGTCGGGTTTGTGTGAGGTTTGTCCATTGAGCCACATGCAAACTTAAGGTGATCAATGCCATCAGATCGTGATGAAGCATCTCGACACGACGCTCCTGCCAGAGGTGGGGGCAATCTTTAGAGATCTTAACGCTTGGGACAGGCTGACGGAAGCCCAGCGAATGGAAAAGTGCAATCAAGATCCTGAGCAAAGGGTAGCCGCGACGAGGAGTTGGTTCAAGTCCTTCCACGAGGCATCTTCTCAACACCAGCTGTCACAGTTCGCATCGCAGTGCCTGTTGAAGAGCAATGTGTGCACGCGGCAGAATCTCAGTGCAACGTTTGACTGGATCAAGAAGTGGAATGTACCACTGTTTTTGATTTCGGCTGGAATTCGCGAGTTGCTGGTGCCGATCCTTCAAACCTCTACGGCTGAGTTGCCTTCTACTGCCCGTCTGGTGGCCAACAGCCTGGATGAGCCAGACGTGAGCATCACATCGCGCGATAAAGCCGACGGACTGACAAAGATTCCGGATTTTTCAGCCCTGGCGGCGGGGAAAACACATGCCCTTCTGCTTGGCGACAAGCCTTCGGATTGTGCACCGCTGCGCAGCTTGCCACCCGAGGTTGTAGTTCTTAAAGTGGCATTCCTCCACGAACCGTCCAAGGCAGTGCTAGCAGAATATTCCCAACATTTTGATGTGCTACTGACTGGTGATCCATCTATGGACTTCGTGAATGCACTTCTTGATTTGGTGAGCGGACAGGGTGTGTCCCCCCGTCTTTGACATTTTGGTGCTTGCACTCGTAAGCAGTGAGCCCATGTGCGTCTGCAGTGGGGTGCTTCAGGAAGCAACCCCATCGTCAAGAATTGGAAAATTTTGTCAAGCGCGGCTGAGCACGGTGAAGTCGGTGATCGTAGAACACTATTAGAACACTAGACTCACTAGAGACTGGGACGAAGCTCGAAGATCCATGTGGCCCACTTTCATGTTTGAAGACACGCCCTGTGGTACGTGCGAAAAGTGCGGAAAACAGCTGCGTGGCCCAAGGCGCGGGTCGGTCTTCGCGTCTCGATCCTGAGAGCTGCCGCATTCGTGTCGGGGAGACATTGGGCCTGTTGCATGAGTCTGAGCGCGGGCATAGAGTTGTCTCCTGAGCTCCAAACGGAATTTGATCCTTGGACCGGGCGGGAAGGATAGCAGGAAGGAAGAGAGCGAAAGTGGTTGCAGGTTGAGACTGCAGGTTGGCAGGAGGGTGATCGACAATCTGCCGAACTCATGGCAGCAGCCAGGCGGAGATGCTGCAACCGAAACTGCTTTCACTGATGGCAAAGTCGCTGATTGTGGCGACACCAGCTCGCCACAGAAGGACAAGGATCGAAGCCGGTTGGGTGTGCAGAAGGAGGTGGTTTGAGTCGCGAGGAAGCGGCCAAACGAGACTGCCCTTTGGCCCATCGTTGCTTCGCAAGGACGAAACCACTTGACCTAGTCCGAGATCGTTCAAGGGCTCTGCTTCCAGGTTGTGACTTATGGGAGGAACATTTCATCACCACTACTGCATCGTCCGAAGCTCGTACAAACCCATCGAACAACTGGAGGCATAGTCGCTTCTCCATGAGCATGGCCTCATCCAACAGCGACAGGACTCACGGGTTCAGAATTGGTACGTGGCCAGGACCTGCTGCCCAAGTCTTAGTCCTAGTCAATCTCAGTCATTTGTGAATGCCGTTTCGGTTCAGGACGAGATTTGCTCAGGTACAAGATTTCCCAAGGATTCCCAAGCGGCCTCAGCCATGGAAGATCATGCGCAGCGGCAAGGTATCCTGCTTTGCGCAAGGTCCTCGGTCATGTGCGGTTCTTCCGGCAAGGCCGCCAAGTTGAGCAGGCAGAGTTTTGGCCGACTGCCCATGCATGGACGGGAGTTGATTCCGGAATGTCGCCCGCGACGGTGTGTCTGCTAATGCCCATACCTTTAAAACAGCGGCCGAAGTGTTATTCAACAACGAGGCGGCGGTAAATTGGCTGCAGGCAAGCTTGACTAGCCGGTAGGCACACCAGCTTTTCCGAGTCGCCACGATGTCACGTGGGCTGGCTGCCCAAGCTTCTAAAGGTTCTATTGAAAAGGTTCTCCCCTTGCAGATCTTTCCTGTCCGGTCTGGATGTGACAAGACGCACTTCCTTCTCGTACATTCTAGCCTCCATGCTCTGGGGCGCAGATGATATGCATGTGCAACTGCGAATCGGACAGTCAGTGGAGCCGCAGGAGCGCCGCTTGCATCCGGTCGATATGTTAAATTCGTTTTTCCCGATGCATTGCTTTCACGACGAGTCCACACGGCAAGACTGTTTCAGTGGACTCTAACACCGCTGACCCACGTGCGAATGGTGCATGAGGCCCAATTGTTGCAATCGGACACTGAGCGGAGCCACAGCAGTTGCCTCACAAACGCAATCCGCACCCGTTCCAGAGCTTTAGTGGGTTCTTGCGCAGGGGACATGCGGACTGTGCTGCTCTTTGTGACGAGTGTTTTCCGATATGAAGCGGAGCCATGCGCGGCCAGGTGTGTCACAAGATCTGGTTTTTGCGACAAAGCCTGGCGCGACAAGGCCCAACTTATGCTTGTGTCATTTGTACTTTTCGGGGCTCCTTTAAGGCAGGGATGTCCCTGTAAAATGCCTTTGCCGGTATCATCTGTGCTTTTCGGGGCTCCCATAATCTGACCCATCGTTAAGGGTGATGCCTGTTGCGGAGGTTGACCTAACTCGGCCAGTTCTGACAGGTGCCCCCCCTCCATACACCATCATACACCGAGGTTTCTGAAACCGTTGCAGCTGATACACACAACTGACACGGCCAGTCTGCCGGCAAGAACACCCTTCGGTTTTGGACGTGCTGTGCGAGCATCATGCTTCAGCAGCTTGCGGCACCCCTCGAAGAGCTTGCCATCCCATCTTGCTGTATCAAGCAGGGCCACAGAAGCAAGACTGCCCTGGAAGATGCAAGGTTCGATGCTCTGAGCCCAACTGCCCTCAACACGCAGTGGCAATAGACATGTCATCGTCAACATGCTACCTTGGCCCTGTCTGACCACACACAGGCGGCTAAAATTAAAGGCGCTTCTCCGAGACATGCTGGGATATATCCCGTCCCATGCTAAATGCCGTCTAGGCCCTAGCATCAGATTTTCTTACTTCTGCACACACAAGCCCAAGGCTGCCGGCCGCGAGGGGCAACATCCTGAAGTCTGCACGGGGCGGTGGCTGCTTGGATTTTTTTGGATGTTCTTGGTGTTTCGAGACCTTCAACGTTTTCCTTCCGACCGCTTCTCCAAGAGTGTTCACGATGTGCATGACAAGCATTTTGAATAGTGCTGCATCTCTGGGAACTTGGGACCGTATCCTGTATGGCTGACGTTCCGACGCGAAGCCGCAACCACCATCCGTATTAAGCTGTGGGTTTGGAGAGGGGCACAGGGGGCGCATGATTCAATACCGCATGCTTTCCTGTATTATGCCGCGGTCCATCGAAAGAAGGCGGCGGATTGTGGTGCAGGTGTTGTCGCTCGTTAGTACCTGGCAAATGCCTTTTTTGTGGTGCTTCGTTGCCCTCGAATCACGATGCACAAACCAAGACAGACAGTTGGTGGGGAAAATGGAACCGACGCTACAGCATGCTACAGCCCGCGAATCCCACGAAACAAGCAACAGTCAACACGACAAGACGAAACGGTTATCGCGCTTCCATTATTGTCCTGTCTTCTCACCGATTCCTTGTCAAGATACAATGCCACTGGCTGCGACCACACTGCGCGCATGCTGCCGGAATGGAAGCCCCCCCGACCCTCCTCCGTCTTACATGGGTCAGTCTCAAGTGCGGGATGCTAGGGACCCCCAAATTACGGCAAAACAGGTGTCAGTGAAGCGATAGCTCGCTATCAGTCCCGCGACCGAGATCGTGCTACCCGCACCCGTCAGAGAGGCCGTCGGTTCTTGGCTGCTCTCATCAATTTACGAAAAACTTTCCTGCTGTGCAGGGCAGCAAGATTTGGGAAGAAAGTGGCATGTGTGGTGCTGGAGGAGGGAACGTGTCAGCCTGGGATGGGGGCAGGTGGCTCAGTTTACAGATTACAACAGGAGGAAAAGCCCTACTGTAGCGACGGCACGGCAGGCCGGCTTTGAGGAAGACACGTATCATGTCAGGGCTTGACGAGAAACTGTGGGGCCTCACTCCAGAGCTCGTCTAGGATCATGAGGTGAGTGGCTGCTCCGGCAGCGAGGATTGGAGTGCTGCCTCCATGCTGCCTCAGCCGGCGGGAGCTGCAGCTTTGAGAAGCTTTGGACACTTGCAGTGCGAGATCTTCAAAATGGCCGCAAAGTCGTCATGGAGAATTGCTCAATCACTTGGAGCTCCAAGCCCCGCAGCGGCCTGATGTGAGCACGGCACCCAGTGCCTGGTCCTGTAGCAAGAATACATACTCAGGGCTTAGGTCTCGATTTCTCGAAGGACCGGGGCAGGCCTTGAGGCTTGCATGTCCTCAAAAGGTGTTCAAAGGTCGGAGACATCCCGAAATTACTTCTTGTAGCCGTGGCTTGCGAAGTCTGGCAAGAGAGGCATGAGCGAATGCTGCAGCCTAAGGCTGGACCTTGACGGCTGACAGCAGATGAAAAGTGGCAGAGGATCTGGACGATAGATGGAGACAGTAGCGATGATAACTGGCAAAGGTGCGGCGGACAACATGATCCGGACAACCAGACATAGCAGTAGTTCCTCGATGAAGATGGTGACCTGGTGATGAGGAGATGGAACAAAAGCAGGATTGAAGCGGCATTGGATCGTCTGACTTGCCACTGTACGACACCGTGCCTGTTTGACTTCCGGATGTTTCACTACCGGACGTGCCGGTGGACCCCCGCAACTGGGCTCCGGATTGCGATCATGTGTCGGTGCCTGGTGACAACGAAGACCATATGGACCTTGCAAAGAAAGATGCGAGAAGTTTCCGAGCCGAGACACGACAAAATTTGCCTGCGTAAATCATTTGTCGCCAGGCGTGCTGCAGTCAATGTCGCGGAGTTGCGTGCCATCCTTGTGCCGTTGCACTTGGAAGGCTGCCACTGGTCGCGCAGAACTCAGAGCCAAAGCGCCACCGAATTGCAATGAAATCGTGCCGCACGTGCGAGGCTCGCCATGGTTCACATCCCCAGGCTGTGACATCTTTGATTCGGCTCCGTCAATTGGACAATAAGTGTCTGTTTGCTTCTTCCACGAATGATTAACCCTCACGTGACATGCTTGGCGGCTTGCCCACCACTCGTAAAATGTCAAGTCCGAGCCTTGCGAGGCGTACCATTTCGTACTTTGATTCACTGAGCCTGCCGGTCCCAAACCTCTTGGGGCAGAGGCAGGCTCATGCATGTACATTGCCTGTCTACTCCGTTTCTATTTTCAACAGATTCTGTCCGCTCCAACAGAAGTCGGGCAGTGCTCGCAGGCTCACGGAATTCATGGCGGCCGAGGTCGCATCTTTTCCTGGACGTCCGGGCCTGTTTGATTGGGTGATTATATGATGCACCTGCGAAGACTGAAGCTTCATGCACTCGTTCCGGCCTCCGCATGAAAACTGTCCTGGCAATTAAAGGCAACAGAAGGGCCAACACTGGACCTGAATTGCCCGTGCTGGATCAGTTCAGCAACCAAGAATCACCAACCAGAGCTGCAGGTCGCCTAGATCTGCAAGTGGACCACTGTTTGCCGTAGTGAGCTTAGAACGAATCTCTCTGGGAGTTCCGTCGCATCCGTCGCGAAGTCTCAGATTAACAAGAAGCGCTGCCGACTGCCCAGGCAACAGGAAAATTCGTCTGACTGCGGCATTTTCATGCTGGTTTATGCTGAGCGTCTGGTCATGGACCTGCCAATTGGCATCGTCCTTAGCCTTCTGTAGCGATCAGATTCCACGAGCTGATCGACAGAGCGTGACCAATTTCCATTTCAGGACTTGACACGTTCCTGTCCGGGATCGAGGAGAAGGCCAGTGACGACTTCGAAGCATTGAAGACTTGAGTTGAACGTCCTACCTGAATAGCTCCGAAATGCTCCGACACTACGTGGAAGACTTCTTGTGATCCCTTCAGCGCCTCGCCATCGCGCTGGCCATCCTTGAGGGCAAGCTAAGTCTCACAAGCAGGGAGCGACGGCAGGAAAACACCAGCTGCCCAGGCCCAGCCCCAGCTTCAACGCGCATTCTGTTTGGCAGCTCCCACATGGAGCCCCGCCGACAAACCTCCTCTCACCCCTGCACACGGTGGAGGTTGGAAAGTTTGGATGACTGTGAGTCTGCTGCTGGTAAAGTTGAATCGAGATCTCATGTCTACATGTGCAGGCGCTTGCAAGCTACTTCTGACAGCACCTGCAAACCCCAGAAACACCACATGCCTGCCTCAGTCCGGAGTCTTTTCATGTCGACTGAACTTCTTGCGCATGCTCATGGGTTGCTAGACGTTCACAGAACCTACTTGATCCCACTTGCAGCTGAGCCGCTGCATCAGTAAGACGCCCGCTGAAATGGTGCACATGGCCACCCCCGCATTGTCCACAGTCGTGCTCGCCTTGGCGTCATGGTTAGACCGTCAGTTTGATCCATTGACCTGTTCTCCTTAATTGTCAAATCTCGTCGAGAGTATCCCCAGGTGCTTTGTGCCTTTTTGCTGACCATAGCTGCTGGCATGGAAATGGATTGGTGGGTATCTCAGAAATCTCAGGTACTCTGCAGCAGGCAAATGCCGAGAGTAAGTTGCGAAGCATAGGACAAGCTACTCGGATCGTGCTGATCTTCCAATGTCCCAGAAGTGGCGAGAGGACATGAAGGCCAGGCTGTTGACGTTGAACGGCATCGAGAAGACTTCATCTTGCTCGGCAGGATAAGCTTTCCAGCGTGGACACTGCGAAGCTTACACCAGAGCAGAAGCGCAAATTCAAAGCCCGGCCGAGAGAGGGCCCCGTAAATTCCTTGCATGATATGGGCTTGTCGGTCCGGTGAGGAACTCTGGCGGCGAGTGAATGGAGATCCGCCATCAGCAGGAGCTGCCGGGGAGGGAGCTATCACACATGGTTCCATTGGCTTCTTGACTCGGCAGGCGAATCCGTGCCCTTGGCGGGGGTTGCTGCCGAAGCAGTCTTAGCACAAAGTGCTTTAAGCACTCGCTTCCTAGCTGACTGCTTGTGTGCTAATACTCCATGCAGAGATCACAGATAGCCAGGCTAGGCCCCTGGGAGCACGCTTCGTGCGACACTTCGTTGGCTCAGGTTGCGTTGCTGCTGGGAGCTGGTGCCTACATGTGGCTGACGAAGCCCGAGCCTGACATCCAAGCCAAGTAACCGGAGAGTGCGTGGAACTTCGTTGAAGAACTGTCAGTTCGCAGTCCTGCAGCGCTTGTTTTGTGCTATGTTCCGTGCATCTCCGTGTAAGTCCGTTTTCATTCTTCACAACAGCATGTGGTGCATCTGCTCACAGATGCAACACGCGACCACTGCTGCGACGAGCTGGTTTGTTGGTCATCTTGTGATCTTAGAATGCTCTGTGTCGGGCTGAAGCCGCCATGCAGTACCCCTACCCCACCCCCCCCCAACCCCAGAGTCTCTCGGGTCGTGGGTAAAATAGCAGTTCAGCTTCTCAGCTTGAGATGCTGGCTTTGCTTGAGACTTCCGTCCTCCAGTTGTAACAGTAACATGGCTTACCGCCGGCCCGGGCTCCGCCCTCGGTTCCGAAAACGGCAAGCTGTTTTGCCAAGGCACTGCGGGACGTGACAGCACCATCTGCAGACCTGGTCGGCTAAGTCGAGTTTGGGCCGAAAACAGAAACACAAAACTTTGTTCATTGTCCACTCAAGCCCCGACGCTTCAAGTTCCATGGTCAGCACGAGGGGACGACATATCAACAGCAGTGGCTCTGGTGGCGGTGGTGTCCATGAGACAAGGCGTGCAAGGTGTTGGTACAGCAGCGAAAAAATGCACCTCAACCGCTGACCTGGCACAGCACGCGCAGTCTTGGGATTTCGGCGTGGCGTTGCTTTGGATCGGCTAATGCTGGCTATTTGTTTGTTTTTGTTCCTTCCCCTTCGTCTCCTGCTTATTCGGGATACATCGTCCCGCCCTTCTCCCAACCATTCTGTTGAAGCCAGCCTCCCTCGAAAGTGAGGTCTCACATCAAGGAGCACAGCATCTCTGCTGGGAGCCTTGCAAGCAACCGAGCACTTAGGACCTGAGGAGACCTTGCACCTGTGTGGTGCCATTGACATTGCTGAGCAATGACCACATTCGCCCCTCCCAGAGCCGACACCCGCTACTAAGCGACTACAGCTGAAGCTCAGGAGTGCTCGCCCACCTGGTCGCTCCGGCATGTGATGCCTGTGATGCTTCTTTCAGTCACCCTTGCATGTCTGGTCCACCAGTCACCAAGTTATGATGCCCTACCCATAAGCATCCACGCCTTAAGAAACAGTTCAGCTTCCTGCCCAAGCTGCATGTCTGCCCCGATTCACGTTGACGCGGCAGCTGACCCAGCTCGCAGCGCAGAGCTACGAGAACTTCGGATGCGCTGGGCTCCGAGCATCCAACGTGTGCTACGTCGAGCAGGTAGCGGCACAGTGAAAAGGTTGTTGATCCGATGAAGGTTTTGCTGGAGCTTGCCACGGTGATAGGAGATACAATGCGCAGGCTGTTGCACTGTCGCACATGTCCTTTTGTGCTTTTCCTGGTGAAGCCAAATAATTAATAAAACAGAATATAATATACGCATACCGACAAAACCTGGGTGGACCTTTGTCAGCTTTGACAGTGCTGCGATTGCAAGCGAAGCTGAGGTCGGTTTGCCGAGCAACCAGCGAGCACAGGACAATGACCGTGCCCGAAAAAGACTCGTTTTCCTTGCGTGTCGACTCTATGGCTCTCTCTTTCTCTCCCTCCCCCTGTCTGCACCACTGCGCAAGTCCGATTCCCGCGGCCATGTGCCAGTTCGACTTATATTATATTGGATATCGTATTGCATTTTATTGGTGAGTCTTCACTTATACTTCGAGATTAATGCTACGGCATGCGATGAGAAGGCTCATCGATACGCCTCGTATAATTCGTTGAATCCGAACGCCTGGTTGATCGGGCGCATGGGTTTCTTGAAGAGGATAGAAAGCCAGGCGAAGTATAGGAATCTACGCTTCGGAAGTGCCGGTGCGTTGGGCTAGCGAGCTCTCCAGAGGCATCTTATGATACGTTCTCATAATGTTACTGTTACTCGCTGCGGTCATCGAGATCCTCTCTTTTCGGCTTATGCTGCTATAGATATATGTCAGGGGATCCGATGGCCCGACCCATGGAGTGGACTCCCTCGTGTCTACGATGGATACCTGGATCCTAGTATTCTCAAGCCACTCCCATGCCAAGCCCAGAAACCCAAATTGCACAATGCTGGGTAGCGTCGGCTCCGGCAATTGCGGCGAGTCGACTACTGTCCTCACGTATACTCGTCGGAGGGTCAACAGATTATATATAGGTCGTGCTGGAGTGAACCCTATGCACAATATCGAAAAAACGACGGCTGCGCCTATTACACGCATCATTTTTCTCCTCCACGAATTCGCCCGTCTTGTCCAATTTGCTGGTGTCAGCATCTTCAACCCCAAAGCCTTTGTGAACTTCCGGTGGGGTAAAGGTCTATCTGGTCATATATCGTAGAATCGTTTATATATAAGTAGATATTATATTGATAATCCGGATATGTTATTTGTTTGAATCGAGAGGAGGCATCGTGAGAAGATGGAATCGCAAGCTCATGTAGGAAGAGGCAGCCTCATAAGGCGGGTGCCTAGATTGAGGGGCTCTATATTGTTGAGTCGACGAACAATTCTTTCTGTTGTTCCGAGATCGAATAGCCACGGATAAGGACGTGAAACTAGTCGTGATGCAAGTTAGCGCAGGATATCAAATAAGGAAGAAGTGCTTACATGGATAACTCTTTATCTTGAATTTGCGGTCTAAGTCGAGTAGTTCTGTAATCTGCACTTATCTCTTTGTGTGGTTTGATATGCGCCCGCTTAGTGGCTCAGCGCTGTGCGGGCATTGCTTGGCAGACCGCCGTCATTTGTCAGGTATGGCTCGGGAACATAGTCTCTTGTAACACTCTTTCGGAATGCAGAATACAACCAGAATACATCGACTAGTGAAATCGACTGGGTAGTCTTTCTCACATTGGTTCTGCACAGCGCGAGTGGCTGCTGGCAGCGACGTGGCGCACTGCCGCACTGCCTTATCGCGTGCCGCTCTGTGCAGACCTAGTGACGCTCGAAGGATCTCGGAGCCGAAAGTACTGCGCCTGCCAATGAAGACCCTAAGAAGTCTTCGGCCACGGCGCTGTGCGTGTGCGCTGCTCACGCCAAACTTTCGGTAAAGCTGCTGCGCCTCGCAAGGTTCCACCAACGAAGCCGTTTTAGCCTTGAGCACCGCGTAATTACATTATTCTACGGTATCTTCGACCGCTGCCGAGAACGCCTTGGATGCCCAGGATGGGTGAATCGCAAGCCGCGGTGCAGGATCTGCAGCTTGCCCTCGATCGCAGCGACGTGGCGTACGGCAGTATCGTGTCCTGCGCTGTGCAGCCCAGGTCTTCGACGATTGCTTCCAGGGCGGAGGTCCAGGACCCGTGCGACCCTTCATGCCTCTTGCTGCAGCTTGCCCGCATAAAGCTGAGGGCACGTCCAGCTTTGCGTATACCCCACGAGCAAGTCCTGAGGCCGAGCCTGCTGGACTACCTTACCGCAGCCTGCCTGCAACAGTGCATTTGGGCCCTGAAAGAGGGGGTCGTTGGGCGGCTGCATGTGTGCCCGCACAGGTGGATGAGATTATGGAGTGGCGCCCGACATCCCAGAAGACCAGACGTCCCAGGGCAGGGAGCTTTGTGTACTTTGCGTATGTTGCAACGCAATGTGTTGCAGCGCAAGACCAGGCAAGCATTATCATTGATAAGAAAGCAGACTTAGGTCTTGATACCGAATTGGGCAGGTTAGACAGGTGCGGCTGCATCCCGAAGTGCTTCGCGGTAGCACGTTGCATAGCCACATGCGTTGGGTACCCATTACTGCGCAGGCCCGAGTCCATTCTCGATTTTTCTGCAAAATGGAAGCGTGTGGCAAACGACCCTATGGCCTTCGATGCCGACACTCAGTCGGATGTGCGGGAAAGGAAATTCTTCGAATGTCTCTTGGCCGTCAGTGAGCTTGATTCACGGAGACCAGGTCTGTTTACTAGATGGGATCCCTCGCTTTTCAATCCCAGGCCGTTGGTGGTGCATGACAATGGCGAGGGCGGGCAGAGCCAATTTCGCAGAGAGTGATGTCTACGATATCGTCAGTGCAAACCTTCGAGATTTGTTTCTGCACTGCCGCGACGTGGATGCATCCGTGCGGCGGTCCGCTCACCATGTTATCTGGGCTCACGCCGCCGGCAGCCATCATTTTGTTCAGCAAATAATTGCAGACGTCACGCTTGGATTGATGGACAACCTACTGCCAGAGCCCGCCGAACTTGTGGAGTGCTCAGAGCCTCTTGAATTTGTTATCCGCGCACTGACGAAGCCTCAGCGCCAGAAGTGGGTATCTTTGCTGGTCAGAGTCCTCGAGGTCCTACAAGGTCAGAGTATGACGGCCGTGAAGGAACAGGCCGTGATGGAGCACCTGGCGTTCCTATGGTGGGCTGATGAGGATCCTAGAGGAAGCTACTGACAGAGAAGCAGACCAGCAGCTACAGACTGTATTACGGCGGTGCGGGCCTCATGTGATGCGCCAGCTTCGCAAAATCCGCATGTACTGACGCCTGCGAAGCTGCAAAAACCTTTGCTTCTCGAAAGCGAGGGGTGCTTCCCTTGAGGGTTTTTATGGAAATCGAAGTATGGATGTTAACCAGGTTCCGATTTTGGAGTAGTCTTAGTTTGTCCGACGCAGAATTCGTTTGAAGTTCAGACTTCGAATCCCGGTTATCAGGTATGGAAGGGTTCTTTCGTAAAGCTTCTATCAAACTCTTCCAAAATATGATCTTCCTGAGCCCCATAAGGGAAAATACCCCAGAGGTCTACCCAGGTTCAAGGCGGCAAATCATGAAGGTCGCCCGTATCTTAGTCGGACAAGGCAGGGCAAAGACCTTTCTGAGCAAGTTTTGGCGCATTCTTGTATCGCTGTGCCATGGGTGTATCTAGTCTGCGGAGCCACGGGCTACCTTTTTGTACTGGGGTATATACACGGTAGGACTGGACCTGCTACAGCTGCCTCTTCCCGCCTTTTCTCGGCCAGCATAGAACGAAGCGAATTCTGGGGCAGATGTTTCTGAGTGACTTAACAGCAGTTACATTCCTCGAGCATGCTCCTCAAAGTCCGCACGCCGAAGTTGAGGGGTCGTATGCACTTGTGATGAGAACTCGTGTTCACACTGAACTCCCTGCTTGACGACCTTTCTAGAAGTGTGTGACCGCTTGCTGATTCATCAAGCTATTGACGTTGCGCACAGTTTCGCAGCCAATCACCGCTACTCCGTGGTGCATAGAACATGCCAATGGTTCAAGATCTGATACATTTCGACTTGCCTCAGCGTCTTGCATGAAGTTGAGAGATGGAGAACATGTCGACGATGCCATGCGTGGCGCAGTGGCAGCATGCTTGGCCGGGGCCGATTCAGTTTCCACCTGACCCCGGGCCCCTTGGCAAATACACTGCTCGTATTTGCGGGGAGAGACTCCGTCGCTGCATGCGGCATATGCCCGGAAGGTCGCGCGTGAGACTGAGGTGGTGGAGCCGGTACTGGTTTCTCGTCGGGTTGGTCCAGGAGCTGAGCGCGAAGAACAATCGGTTGGGAGCCGAGACGCGGAAACAAGGTACAGGGTTCAGCCCTTTGGGACCACAAGTTGTAGGTCGAGTGCTGTGTCAGCTTGTCGACCATGCGGAGACACTCACCACCTTCGCACAAAAGGAAATCTGAGAATTGAATCACGAATTCGGAAGACTTCTGCGGAACTTGGAGCCCCCTCCCAGACCTCCGCAGCTTCAGGGTCTCAGTCGTGCCAGATCAGGCAGAACCGGTGCATCCGGAACCTGGAGAAGCAGCAAGGGCCTGAGGACGAGGAGACGGCGAGAGCGAGGGAGCGCGATTGAGTGCGTGCAGGTTGTCGCGACGGAACAAGAAGATCTCCAAACTCGAGGGCAGGCTCTTGCAAAAACCCGTGACGGAGGGCGCACCTCCTGCAGCTGAGCTCTTGGGCAGCAATCGTTTTTGTTTTCGAAGCAGGAGACTGTGCGGAGCCGCCGTGAACCGGTCAGTAGGCCACCAGTTAAACCATCCAGTGCACGAGTTTGCTGCAGGGTCCCTGCAAGAGCCGGTTCAGATACACCCTTGCGAAGAAAGTCAGATCCGTCTGTGTGTCAAGGCACCGTCAAGGAGAGGGAAGCAGGGCTTCTTCGCCGCCTGCAAGCACTGACGTCGGCGACGTCGACGACTCTCCGAAGGACGCAAACAGAGTGTCTCAATAACAAGCAGTCTAAGCCTAAGCAGTCTTTTAGCACTTGAGCGCCACATGCCAGAGCTTTTGCGAGGCATTCGATGATTCCGAAATCCAAGTGAAAAATGATGAGCAGCCCATTCTCAAGGCCGTGGGCACAACAGTGCGAAAGCAGCACAGCCATGTTGATCTCTTGACTTGAAAGGAAAATTTGCCTGGAGCGCTCCGGGCCCACATGGACGATTACGAGGAGATAGCAAGTCCGGTTGAGATGCCCCTCGGCCGCGTGGTGGGATTGCATGCCAAGCGTTTACAATGCAGCCGGGTGTCTTCAATTCGGAAAGTTTGAAAGGCCTGACAAGCGAGAAAGCGGAGCCACAACGGACCCGATTGGTGCACACGAGCTGGGATTCGTCGCGGAGAAGGCCCAGGCTCAGTCCACTCGTCACAGACTCATGCTTGTTCTCCGTGTAGACTGTCGGGATCTGTCGGCAATTAGTCGATGCTTGAGAATTCTGGGGCGAGGCAGCCATCGTTCCGTTTCATCTGTCCTTGGAAGCTGTGCGACTTAGCTGCAAGCCTGGAGCAGGGGCAGCTCCTCTGAAACACATTTTTTGAAGCGATGACCAGTGTCAACATCCGGCGTATCATGTACCTCACATAACCTCTTACCCTAACTCCCTTGGGATACCTAGTGCTTCGAGGTTAGAGGTTTCCGCCGGTGCGAACCTCCGCCCGTCAGCTACCCGCCCCAGCTCCGTGAGTCGGCACCACTCACCTTCCACAGTGAGCTATCTGCGTTCCAGAACTTCCGCCCGTTATATACTATCAATACTATCTATCTATGTATCCACCCCCCCCCCCCCCCCCCCCCCCCGCCCCCACTCTTTTCGGGTCTGCCCTCTGACCGTCAGTAACCTCCGCGCGTCAGCTACCCGGTCCGCGGAATAGGCCTGTGCGAGCCTGCTGTGCTGACATGCTGGCCAGTCGCAGCTCAGGCAATGCAAAGGGAAGCGGCCCCTCGCAGAGAAATGTGCTGCCGAGGACAGCAGACAGGCTTCGGAAGGAAGTTGTTCTCAGGATTTGTCCTCCAAGCTCGAGGCTTTGGGCGTGTGCCATTTTCACCCGCAGTTGACTTCAATGCTTTCATTCCGAGCCTTTGAAGCATGGAACATCATGGAACAGTCTTTGAAAGGATTTGTCCAAACCCTAACACACCTAATCTAATGATGACAGGAGCCCGTGACATTTGGTGCCGAGCTCTTGGGCAGCAATCGTTTTTGTTTTCGTTTCGTCACCTGTAGTAGGCCACCAGATGAGAACCGTGTGTGGGTCCTTATCAGATCGTTTAGCCGTGCTTAAGGCGGGGGGCTGAGGGGGGCGGGGGACAAGTGCGCAATGCGTTTCCCAGATGCTCGGTCCGGCACTTTCCTGGACCATCTCAGGCCGTCGACCCCCAAAAGGAGCCGGGAGCACCGCTGCTTCGGGCCTTGCTCTCAACACCTGCCTTGTGGACGCCCGAGCGCCCACCAGCTTTCTACTGCCTGCGAGCCGAGGACACCTGACACAGCCTGCCCCGACTCTGACGACAAGCTCGATGGACAGAGCGACAGCGAGGATGAGCCACCGTCGGAGGCTCATTCAGAGGGATTCCATGGTGGAAATCGTTCTTCCATCGAAAGGAAGATCCGGATGAAGCAATCATCCATAGGGTTCTCTCGATCGGGAACACATTCATCTGCACACTGCCTGGCCGAAGTCAAAAACACACCCGACAAATCAGCAAAAAGCAAACTACAACCTTAAGGATCCAGCGATCGGCAGGGCACGCGCTCCTGGTGCAATTGCAAAATATAGGGGACTGCACGGAACCCTCCAGCCGACTACTTGTAGCCCCACGGAGCCAAACATGGAACTGCAGGGAGCCTCAAGTCGCCTCAGCCTAAGCTTCCAAAATGAGCGTCGATTGACGAAAATATTGCTGTAATGCCAAGCTCCCACGAAGCTTGGATTTATGTTCGGTTTTGCTCTCGTTGTACCGCGAGAATGGGGCCCTGCTGCAACGGTAGCACTACTTACCAGTAAATCCCATCCATAGCCAAAACCTCGGAGCCTTCCTCTGAAGCTTTGAGATTCAAGGACTGGTCTGGAATCCGCATGGCGTGCACTGGAGAACATCGAGCAGACCCTGCAGCAGCTGCAGCGCAGCTGCGATCGGCAGGTGTCGAAGAAGCTCGCTTGAATCGTTAGGATCTCAACCCCAGCTTCAGCTTCCTCTTGTAGACGTTGCTGAAAATGATCTTCTACAACCAGTTTGCGACCCAGCTAACTGCATGTTTACTACGGCGATTGTTGTGGTTTGATATGTGGCCGCTTGGTGGCTCAGCGCTGTGTGGGCATTGCTTGGCAGATGCCGTCAATTGTCAGGGATGGCTCGGGAACATTGTCTCTTGTAACACTCTTTCGGTATGCAGAAGTCATCGACTGGTGAAAATCGACTGGGTAGTCTTTCTCACATTGGTTCCGCGCAGCTGCGAGTGGCTGCTGGCAGCGACGTGGCGCACTGCATTGTCGTGTGCCGCGCTGTGCAGACCTAGTGATGCTCGAAGGATCTCGGAGCAGAAAGTATACTGCGCCTGCCAATGAAGACCCAAAGAAGTCTTCGGCCACGGCGCTGTGCGTGTGAGGTTGTCAGGGCGAGCGCTGCTCACGCCAAACTTTCGGTAAAGCTGCTGCGCCTCGCAAGGTTCCACCAACAAAGCCGTTTTAGCCTTGAGCACCGCTTAATTACATTATACCGCAGTGTTACATCGTATAACATATGCTATTCTACGGTATCTTCGACCACTGCCGAAAACGCCTTGGATGCCCAGGATGGGTGAATCGCAAGCCGCGGTGCAGGATCTGCAGCTTGCCCTCGATCGCAGCGACGTGGCGTACGGCAGTATCGTGTCCTGCGCTGTGCAGCCCAGGTCTTCGACGATTGCTTCCAGGGCGGAGGTCCAGGACCCGTGCGACCCTTCATGCCTCTTGCTGCAGCTTGCCCGCATAAAGCTGAGGGCACGTCCAGCTTTGCGTATACCCCACGAGCAAGTCCTGAGGCCGAGCCTGCTGGACTACCTTACCGCAGCCTGCCTGCAACAGTGCATTTGGGCCCTGAAAGAGGGGGTCGTTGGGCGGCTGCATGTGTGCCCGCACAGGTGGATGAGATTATGGAGTGGCGCCCGACATCCCAGAAGACCAGACGTCCCAGGGCAGGGAGCTTTGTGTACTTTGCGTATGTTGCAACGCAATGTGTTGCAGCGCAAGACCAGGCAAGCATTATCATTGATAAGAAAGCAGACTTAGGTCTTGATACCGAATTGGGCAGGTTAGACAGGTGCGGCTGCATCCCGAAGTGCTTCGCGGTAGCACGTTGCATAGCCACATGCGTTGGGTACCCATTACTGCGCAGGCCAAAGTCCATTCTCGATTTTTCTGCAAAATGGAAGCGTGTGGCAAACGACCCTATGGCCTTCGATGCCGACACTCAGTCGGATGTGCGGGAAAGGAAATTCTTCGAATGTCTCTTGGCCGTCAGTGAGCTTGATTCACGGAGACCAGGTCTGTTTACTAGATGGGATCCCTCGCTTTTCAATCCCAGGCCGCTGGTGGTGCATGACAATGGCGAGGGCGGGCAGAGCCAATTTCGCAGAGAGTGATGTCTACGATATCGTCAGTGCAAACCTTCGAGATTTGTTTCTGCACTGCCGCGACGTGGATGCATCCGTGCGGCGGTCCGCTCACCATGTTATCTGGGCTCACGCCGCCGGCAGCCATCATTTTGTTCAGCAAATAATTGCAGACGTCACGCTTGGATTGATGGACAACCTACTGCCAGAGCCCGCCGAACTTGTGGAGTGCTCAGAGCCTCTTGAATTTGTTATCCGCGCACTGACGAAGCCTCAGCGCCAGAAGTGGGTGACCTTGCTGACCAGACTGCTACAAGGTCGGTGTCAGAGGTCCTACCAAAAGACAGTATTGGAGCACCTCGCGCTCCTATGGAGGGCTGATGACGATCCCAGACGAAGCTACGCAGAAGCAGACCAACAGCTACGGACTATATCACGACGTTCCAGCCACGATGTGATGCACGAGCTTCGCAGACTCCGCATGTTCTGACGCCTGCTTGTGCGAAAATCATTGAGGCATCTCCGACTCTTGCGCGAACCGTACTTCCGTCTAGGACCATCGATAGTAGGTAGAGCAGGGTGATCTGGACTCCAAATCTGCACGCTCCCTGCACCCTACACCCCTTGACTCCAGATCGACACTACGAAGAAGCCCTGAAAGCAAACAACCCCATGGCTTGGAAACCCCATAAATCCCTTTTAAACCCCGGCAAGCACCCTGTAAAACCGTATACAACTCCCTCGACCCTCCAGCCCATGACTACTGAATCTTGCTGCTTCCGAAGATTTTCGGGCTTACAGTTCGTGCTCAGGGTCCGGTATCTGCCACTCGTCGGCAATTTAACGCAGCTGCTGTCTCGCCCGTTGCTCAACTGCGCCCCGAGTGCAGGTCGCGATGCCCAGTTCCGCCTTCGCGGCTCTCCCCCAAGCGCCTTGGTGCATCAATGCCCAAACCACGCCCGAGCAGCCGATTTATGAACTTATATACCCCCGTAGGGCCTTCCATAGATACGGGAGAGGCCAGCTCAGCATCTGCGAGTGGTGCACAGCGGCCCGACTGCACGGAAAGGGGCCACCTGCAGCAATGAGTCTCTGATGATCGTAAGGAAGCAGTGCAACTCAAGTCCTTTAGATGTAGCTGCATGCTACGGCTGCCAACCTGCCCCCAGGCTGGCAGAGCACACTTCATCGCGAGCCGCTCTTTGCGAGTCAGAGGCCGGCAGAGTCTCCTTCCAGGTTGGAGGCAGCAGAAATCGGATGCGTGTCTTTGCAAGCGGAGCAAGAGCGGATCTTCTGGGATGCCTTGGCAGTCTTTCGCAGGGCATGTAAGCACGGTTCTGTCTCATCTCGCTCGGCCACGCCCTCTGAGTGTGGTTTGAGTGGCTTCAACGAGCCTGGCACAGAGCAGCAGCATGCTGCATCAGCGTGCTCATTCGGATCAGGGGAAGTGTAGGGAGTTCGCTGAGCAGGATCCTGTGTACAATGGTTGCAAGTTGCTGCGAACCTGAAGTTGGAAGACAGTCCTGACGTATTGATGGTCGCCGTACCACAGGCACGGACAAAGGCGGCATCCTTACGCGAGGAGGTCGGCAGGCTGCGGCTCGACTGCAAGGCTCAAGGAAAGAGGCCACCTGAACGAATGAGTCTCTGATGATCGGACATGGTCGGACTGTAAGAGTGCGACGTAAGTCCTTGAGATGTAGCTGCATGCTGCAAATACGGCCCGCAATCTCCCCCCAGGTTGGCACAACTCGCTTCTTTGCAAGACGCGGTCGTTTTCCAGGCTGGAAGCAGAAACCGAAGGCAGATATATGTCTTTAGAAGCAGAGCGAGAGCGGGTCTTCCGGGCTTGGCCTTCGTTCACGGGCACGGGGCAGGCCCGTTCTCTCTTTATTCTCGCTTTGCCACTGTCTAAGTCGTTTCAGGTGGCTTCGAAGGAGCTCGAATTGAGCAAGCAAAAGCTCGCTTCAGCCGCGTGCTCATTCGGATCAGGGAAGCATAGGGATTTCGCGCTGCTATCGCTCGTCAAGCGTCCTAGGTGCAGGAAGCCTCCAGTGCGCTGACTGACCAGCCTCTCGACTGCAAGCAGGGTCGGCATGCGAAGGAACCTCCAAACATCCAGCTGCACGAAAGAGCTGCAAACACTTGCAGGCTCTCGACATGCGCTGGCATGTTCGATGAGCTGCGCAAGCTAGAGGCCGGCATTTCTTTTCCTGGGCGCTGACGCTTCGTTTTTTTCTAGGTCTCACCACACTTCAAGGGGTGTTTGTTTTTTCTTTATACGGTTGCGTTGTAGCAGCAGGACATGGTTTTTGCACTATTGCACTTCTCTTGAAACCATTGTCCAACTCTCCCAATAGTCTATGATATAGTTCGTGCGAGCCCTAACCTAACCAGGCTTCTGCCCAAATCCCTACAGCAGATCGATGTCCCGTTAGAGTGAGAGCCCTTCCAGGGTGCGAGCAACATGCCGTCATACTGCCTTTCAGCTTCCACTGGATGGTTGTTGAGCTACCGTGGAGATACTCTCAGAATGCCAACCTCAGGACTGTTTATGCTGCGAATACCATAACTTGGATGCCAGATATCATTCCACTACAGAGTACTGCTTCAGAAAATCTTAGGAACAACTCGTCATATGCTGGCAACAGTTGTCAGACTGCTGTTGGAGCCTTTACGGAAGGCTGTTGAACATGCTCGTAACGTACTTATCATGCTGTCACAGAGCCTCTGAAGACTGATATCAGGTCGTGTTCAGGTGCCTCGAATCGCTGTCACTTTTTCTTGCTGGTGCCCCATCATTCGCACATCTAGTAAAGAATGTGGCGTATTCATTCGGATCAGGAAGCATATAGGGGAGTTCGCGCTTGTAGCGCAGACCCAAGACCTGTGCAGCAGCTGCAAGGTGCCGCAAACCTGAAGTTGGAAGAGTTTTTCGGAAACTCCTATTTCGGACAGGGCTGCGCACTTCGCTTTGTACAGAACAGGACGTGCGGAGCTTGTGGTTTACGTTCCGCTACGAACCCTGAAAAACAAGAAATGTAACTAAGAGTGGATGCAGTTTATATAGATCGAGAATTTATAATAGTCGAATATACTCATCGATTATGGTCTAATATAGGTAATAATTTTATCGGAGAAAGGAAAGAACGAATAAAGTGTCAAAAAATTCAGAAAACAAAAGAATCGATTATGTAGATAATTCAGAAATATATTTGAATAATTCATAATAATGATATCTTTATATATATTTTTTTATTAAGATTGAAATTTATTTAATATTTCCGATAATAGAAAATTTACACGAGTATTGACAAAAGAAATTATTTATGAAATAATTTATCGATTATTGAGTATAATGGTAGTTTATGATAATAATCGAAATTTTAATATTAGAATTATTTTGTTCACGAAAGTTAGTATAATTAATCTTTCGTATATATTCTATACAGAACGCGGGGGGGGTGGGTTCTAATTTCGTGAGATTCGATAATATTCTAGTAAATTGGGAGTTATCTTGAAATCGCTCTCTATAAATTTATATAAATCTCAAACTGATTATATAAAAGTATGTAAAATAAGAAATACGAAAGTGATTGTCTAATTAGTGAGGGTATATATATATTTCGAAGTAAGGACTTTGGCTCGATATTATTGCTCATATATTACTCCATACTAGATCTGTCAAATATGGATCGTTTCATTATTTGATATGATTCGAATAAATCGTAAAAAGGAGCCTTCTTGCAAAATCTTTCTAAAGCCTGGTGAAGGGGA